ACTGAGATGTACGATGATCCAGAATGTAAGAGGTAATGCCATAAAATCAATTCTGCTCAAATTAACTTATATGTGTGATGCAATGCTAAATTAAGGTCTCAAAGGGATGTCTTGGGAGAGGGAAAAAGTGTATAAGAAAAATGAATAACATTTTCAAGATAATAAAAGACATTATTAAAATTATGTTTCTATTATAAATCAATTAAAAAGAGGCCTGTGAAACTGAATCAAGAATTGACAGATTAATGAAACACAATGGAGACACCCAGAAATATATCATATTAGCTATGATAACTATGGCAATCAAAAGCAGTCAAAATAAACAGATTTTTAAATAAACAAAGCTGGGATTAATAACTTGATTCTAGTTATTTTAAAACATTTCATGTAAAAGTAAAGTTATATGAACTAGAATAAGAATATAGTTACTATGTATGTGATCTCAGATTGAGGAATGACTTCTAGCATAAAAACAAAGGAAGAAACAGTAAGACCAATAGATTTCACAGCACATAAATTTAAAATTTCTGTACATAAAGAAACACTATAAACTAGACAAAAAAACAAAATATAAACTATGAAAATATTTTCAATACAAGGTAGGAAAGGAACCAATATATATAAAGAACTATAAATGAGGGGAAAATACAGAGTACCATAATTAAACACAAAGTGAAGGATATAAACAGATATTTTCCAAAATAAAATATTTAAAGAGCTCAAAAACTTATTAAAATAAGCTTATTCTTTTTAAGTCAATAAATATTAATTAAAATAATATGACCATGTCATTTTATCATCATACCCAATGACAATTAACACCAATGTATATCACAGTATTTTTAATACTGAATATTTAGGATTCAACTAAATATATGACAGTGAGAGAAAAATTAATTATGGTGTATTCATAAGATGAGGACTCTGCAGCAATTGAGAAATTATGTTTCAGAAAACTAGGGATAATATCAGAAAACACTTATGTAAAATGAAATACAATAAAAAGATAATGAAAACCATATATATGAACTATATACATAAATTCCTATGTATAATCATATTTATATAGTCCTCATTTTACCTATAATATATAGCATACATATGTAGGACACTATTAACATGTATATTTTTGTATATATGCACACATAAAAATATTTATTGAGTAAAACTGGTAGGATATTAACCAACATCTTAAGTCTATCTCTAGTGATGCTATTAGATTAAATTTTGTCCTCTACTTATCTGTACTTTTCTATGAATTTTCTATAGTCTGTATTTTAATATTTTCTTAGTGTTCTATATCTAAAATATTCATGTATTCATTTTATAATAAGGAAAATGGTTTCAATAGACTGCAGTCAATTAAAACTGAAAATAGCCAAAAGTAATGGTACTAGCAAAAAGCTGACTAGACCAGAAAGATTGTATTAATTTTTTAATTCTATTTGAAAAATTAACAAATCGAGGATCTGGAGACTACAGTACCTCTATTGTGATTAGAATTCCACTAGCAGGAGCACAATATGAAATTTCATTGCCAAATATGTAGAAAGATAGGGACACCAGCAGTAATCTCAACAGAGAGGTACAGAGAAAGAATGCTGAAAATTGTGTTAGGTTTCAAATTATAGAAGCAGTAAAAGTGTTAAAAATATCAAAGACACATGGGGAAGTTAGGAATAATCATTCTAAGTTGTTCAGCTGTATTTCTGAAATATATTTCCATTACAGTTACAATGTCTGTGAAAAGGAGAACAAAGAGATAAAAACAGACAGTCCAGCAGCAGGGACACTGCCTTGGCAGTGAACAGCTGACACCCAGGTGCCTCTAGCCCCTCTCAAACATCTCTTGTAACTCTGAGGAAATTCTTCTGTCTCTCAGGTCTGAGCCTCAGTTTCCTCATCTTTAAATGGAAGGAGTTGAAACAAATGGTCTCATTTTACTTTAGCTTTTTTTTTTTTTTAATTTCAAACTCATTTTCACACTTGGTAAACTGCTAAGACAAGTTAGTCTGTCTTTCAACTTTTAGTATTCTCATTTATTTTATTATGGTGTATGAGGACAATTTAGTTTGAATCCAAATAAACACAAATCACCGTGTTTCTGACTCAACCCAAGAACAGGGAACCTCAAAACTCAGCCATTAAAAGCTAAGATGCTAACATATCCTGGAAAGATTTAACCCTTTTCTGATAATCTTCTGGAAGATTCTCTCATCCCAAAAACCCTATTTGAAAACCTCCTTCCATTTCTTTCCTCATCTCTGAAAACAAAATGCGTTTGTAAGCAACATTATCAGCAATTTTATGTTACTTATACTTTCCATCATTTTATACGTGAAGAAAGTGAAGTTTAAAGAGATTAAATGATCCAAAGTCACACAATTAGAAGCCACAGCACATTTCTCAGCAAGATCTGAAAAGCATGAATAGTATATTTATGGCACCAGTTATGTAAACATTTGAGCAATATAAATAAGATCCTATCAGATGTTCACTAGATCATTTGTTTATTCATCTGTAATAAGAATGAAAACCCTTTAGGGCCAGCAGAGTTCCAGGGACAAAACGATTGACCCACTTGATGCTACAAAGACGCAGGTTTCTATGGCCATAGTGCCAGCAGAAACACAAAACTTTAGGTAGAAGTTTAAAATCTCCGAAGGCTCGTGTCAGAAAGTTAAATAAAAGCCAAAAATATCTTTAATTCCCTAGTTCTGAAGCAATCAAAACACATTTAGAAAGAATACAAAATTACAGCCAGGTAGGAGGAGTAAGTTCTAGTGTCGAATAGCACTGTAGGATGACTATAGTTAACAATAATATATAATATAGTTTGGAATAGCTGGAAAGGGGATATTGAATTTTCCCAACACAAAGAAATGATAAATGTTTCAGATGAAGGATAATGCCCATTATCCTGATCTCACCACTACATGGTGTATATATTGAAACATCACTATGTGTACCATATATATGTGCAAACATTTTGTGTCAATTTAAATTTTTTGAAGAAAAGAATGAAACCAATAGGCAAATGTTTGGAAAGCTGTTGGAAATGAATCTGACTACATGAGCAAAATAAAGTAGGTTTCTAACAAGTCTTTAAACCAGAAATTCCAACTGTTAGTTTAAAAACGGGTGTCAAAATGACAGGGCAAGTTTGTTCAGAATTTAGTTTTCTGGGGACATCCCCAGAGATTCTGATTTTGTAGGTATATCTGCATTTTTAAATGGGTAACCCATGTGATTCTGATGCACGTCGTCCATAAACCACACATGGAGAAGCCCTACATCTGTAAATTATCCAAAAGAATTAAAGATAAAATGAACATGGAGGACAACACAGTGGATTATTTGAACCTAATTTATATTTCTTTAAAATTTATAAGATCACATATTTATGTTATTTCCTTTGAGCTTCACAATGAGATACTGTTATGGCTATTAATTCCACTTACAAGCATAGAAACTGAGGTTTATGGAGGTTAAGTGACTTCCCAAGACAAGAAGACATGAATCTGGGTCTTTTGATTGCAAATTTAACATTCTTTCACATTTCTCTTGTATTAAAGAGACTGGTACAATAAATTAAAGTTGCCTGTGGACATCTGATTTTGGTAAGTCAATATAAATAAATTACTGGTCACATCAGAAAGATACAATTTAGAGAAAAATAATGATTATTTTGTGAAGGCAGTGGGCTCAAAATTACAGGGGTTTTGGAAAGATAACTGAACTAGAAATAGGCCACTAAGCTTTTATAACTCCTCTTACTGCTCAAAATATGGTGGCGCCCACAGGCATCACCTGAGAGCTTAATAGAATTGCAGAATCTTGGGCTTCACCTCCAGCCTATAGATAAGAATTTACATTTTCACAAGATTCCTAGGTGAATCCTTACATAGATTCCTTATATGAAATTCCAAATATTGCCAAGTTCTATGATTTTAGAAAAATGACTGCATTTTTCTGTATTTCACTTTCCTCAACTGTGAAATGAGTAAGTTGAATTAATCTATCTTTAATATCTCCTCCAAAGTACACAGGAGTTGGCAAACTGTGTCCTGTGAGTCAAGTTTGGTCAGCAAGCTAAGAATGGTTTTTACGATTTTAAACATATGGTTTTTGTTGACAAAAATCACAATAAATTCAAATTTTAGTGCCCATAAATAAAGTTTTATTAGAACAGGGGAGCACTCATTTGCTTGTGTATTGTCTACATCTGCTTTCATGCTATGGTGGCAGAGTTGGATAGATGCAACAGAGATCGTACAGCCCACAAAACCTAAAGCATTTACTATGTGAACCTTTACAAAACTATTTGCTGATGCTTGCTATAATAATAATACCAATAACACAAGCCACAATATAAGCAGTTACTATGAGTGGGCAACTGTACTAAGAATAAATATGCATATAATTTGAATATCTATGTATACATATATAGATATACTTCATATTTGTATAAGTTTGTTAAACTACCTCTCCACTCCCATTTTATCCTATTTACAATTTTTCGAAAACACCTGACTAATATCAGTTTTTCGAAAGGTTTTTGCCTTTTCCAAAAGATGTAATCAATGATTTTCATGTTGACAAGTCTGAGACATGCCCTCCTAGAGGTATATATCAGAATCTTTAGTGGAGAAGGGAGCATGTGAAATTTGAATAAAACATATGAAATAAACTACTAAAAAAATCAACAAAATTTCTTAATTGTGTAGAGATTCAAAGAAAAAGAGAAAGCATAAAGTCAGCATGGAATAAAAATGATTATGAGAATCACTGAAATCTTGAATTTCTTTATGTTCTATTTACTGTTTTTAATGTCTAAAAGTTCTGCTATTCTATTTTAGTTATTATCATACAAGAATTAAACAGTCAACAAAACCAGAAACGTACTTAGCAATTATTAATGTTTGAGTTTTCCCAATTGAAAATGTAGGCAACTGTCTAACTACTAATCAAAATAGTAATCTCAGAAAGTCTGCCAAATAAGTTTGCAGTATAAATTATGATATTAAAATGATTATAAACTGTTTTAAAATGACACACAAAATTATGGGCCTAGATTTCAAATTTCTGTGACTTTCAAATTAAGGTGCCACTATTATACATTACAAAAATGTAAAAGGCCTATCAATCTTCCACAGGAGTAAAATATAAGTTATAAACTGTGTATTAGTATCATTTACAGAATTTATGATTAGCTCAAGTATCCAATTGAAAGCATAGGAAATAATGTTAAATTTTAGTTAATATTTTTAAGGTTATTCAAGTATTCATACATTTTTTAATAAACTTAAAACATAATGTAAATAATCTGCTTTCACAAAGTCTGTACAGAAAACTATTTATCTTGAATTTTAAATTTGCTACTGTTTTATTATCATAAAGTAGAACAATTGGTTCCATTTATAAAGTAGAACAAGTAATTCTACTTTATTACCATAAAGTAGCAAATTATACTATTAAAATTGGTATTTTTTTTACCATAAACTAATAAACCAGGAAATTAAAGTTCTACCTTATTACCATAAACCAGTTTTGCTTTTTGGTATGATAAATAAGAAAAAAAGTTGTAATATATGGTTACTTTGTTGCTTTGCAATTGATAATTTATCCATGTAAGAACTTTCCAGAAAATTAATCCTATTTGAACAAATAAAATTGAAACGAGACATTTATTGTTATGATTTTCAAATACTGAATTAATTTCTCTGTTCCTGAATTATTTCTCTTGTTTCTATATATTCTCAATTCATAACATTTTTAAAGGTTTTCTAGTTTCTAGTTAGCTGCAAAGTAAATAAAATACAAAATTTCAACATATCTAACACTCACATACACACACACATGAGCACGCATATACATACACAGGTAAACGTTCTTTATAATAATCTGTTTGATATAATTAGTATCCATAATCATAGCATATTTTTTCATAGCATGATATCATAGCATTCTTTATCCCAAAACAGACTATACTGATTATTTAATATGCAATTTTTAAAAGATAAATCAAATTATTAATAAATATCTTACCAGATCTTACCCAACACATCAAACAAAGAAAAACGTACACTCTCATTTGGAATCTGATAAAAGTAAAAGAACCACTCAGATTCACCAAAAAGGGAAGTCTGTAATTCATTAAGATTTCTCTTTGGTAGAATTGTCACAGTCTGGCAGGTTTTACTGTAAAAGTTCACTGACTATTGCTCCTCCCTCTTTGTTGAAAAAGGTGAGGTAGTTTGTTTTTTCCCATGTGGCTTATGGTTTTGAGAACGATTTTTAAGTCAAAGACTGTAATAAGTCACAAACAAACCTTCAGCTACACAAGTTGAATTTGAGGGAATAAAAAAGCGAATTATATCTTTCTTTATTCCTTTTAATCTCAGGATTTCAGAAGTGGTCAGGAAGAATATGTTTACTGAAAGCCTAGACCAAATATGATGTTATAAAATGCTAGAAATAGAAATATGGAGAAAAAGTTGTGGCTTATGTTCATTTTGATTACAAACTAAGTTGTCTTTATATACTATAATAAAATCAATAATGTAATCCATACCCATCAAATTGTCAAGTGTAAAATACATGGGCTTTTCATGTTTGTGTCATTTTGTATCCCAACACAGAGGCTATTTGAAAATTCAAAATTGTGGCTTGTTTCTTGAGGCCAAAATTTGAAAATAAAATATATATTTGTTTTTTTATTTGACAACCATTTAAAAATTATTATAGGTTTTCTTTTTATATGTTTAATTAATTGTCCTCTTATTTTCCTGCCAGCAATGGACTTCAGTAAGCAAGGAAAATTGAGAGTTGTTCTAAGCACATGCATTGCAACCTCAAATATTAAATTTGTTTTTAGAAAATTCAAGTGTCTGTAAAACTCCAAAGATACAGGAAGAACAGTAGTGTTTAATTAACACCATAGATTAGCAGAAACTAATCTGAGGTCTGGAGAGGTGTTTCAGATCTACAAACAAAAAAGTATTCATTTAAAAACCATGAAAATTTAACTGTTGATGAAACTCCATCATTATTTTGACCTGTTTGATTTCTGGGTATTTGAAGTAAAACTTCATTTTTAAAAGGGTGACACTATTATAATTAGTTTGGAGAACACCAAATATTCTAGGTCCTTCCACAGCACTTACTATAACAAATGTACTTCTCTAACAAAGATGTAAACTATATCATTTCAGAATGTGAGAAGAAAGATAATGTGTCATACATATTAAAATAGATTTTTCGGCCAGGCGCGGTGGCTCACGCCTGTAATCCTAGCACTCTGGGAGGCCGAGGCGGGCAGATTGTTTGAGCTCAGGAGTTCGAAACCAGCCTGAGCAAGAGCCGAGACTCCATCTCTACTAAAAATACAAAGAAATTAATCAGACAACTAAAAATATATATAAAAAAATAATTAGCCGGGCATGGTGGCGCATGCCTGTAGTCCCAGCTACTCGGGAGGCTGAGGCAGGAGGATAGCTTGAGCCCAGGAGTTTGAGGTTGCTGTGAGCTAGGCTGACGCCACGGCTCTCTAGCCCGGGCAACACAGTGAGACTCTGTCTCAAAAAAAAAAAAAAAAAAAGATTTTTCTTAACAAATTTTTACTTAATAAATTAAAAGGTAAATCTTTCCTATTTAACACATAATTTTCTTCTTTTGTGTGCTTTTGATGTGACACAATTGTAATTCTTGCACATCATTTTCATTTTACTCTTCTAAAGAGCTAATATTGAAAAATATAAACTTGGCATTTTAGGCAGAATAATACATAGCATAGTTTTAAAATACAAAATTGTATTTCTTCATTATATATTTTACTTACTGTCAATATGAGAAAGTTGGGGTCATTAATGCTTATTGCATTAAATAGAAAAATATTGGGGGATGACAAAATATATAAAATGACAATAATTTAGTAAGACATTATTTATTTATGTACTGATGTAGTTTTCCTTGGATATGAAAAATGATTATAAGTAGCTTACAGACACGCATATAATGTAAACAATAATACAAAGGTGATGCTGCTGCTGCCAATAATGATGACATTGACGATTGAGCCCTACGCACCAGGCATTCTTCTAAGTACTTTATAGGTAATTATAATAGTTAGCTACATTGTGTTTATTGAGGTTAGGAGTCATTGTTTATGACAATACATTTTGTCACAACTTTTTATTTAATTTAGCAATGCATCAAAAATGTTTAATAATCTTATCTTTTGACTCAGCAATTAAGCATCCAAGGTACTTTCCTACAGAAACATCCAACGTACTTTCCTACACATCCAAGGTCCTTATATGTGACTAATGGTCCGCATGTGTACAAAGATACACGAGTAAGAATGTTCATCTCAGAATTCTTATAAAAGCCAAAAATGAAAACAGTGTAAATGTCTAACGATGGGGGATTAGTCTAATTATGTGCATACTGTGGATTTAAATGAATGTTATAGATAGATCAGTATGTATTGGTGTAGAAAGCCTCTATTACAGTTTTAGGGGGAAAGGGGCAAGCTAAAATATGAGTACAGCATATATAGTATTGTTTATTTTCCTAAAATGTGCTATATGTGTATATGCATGGTTCAAAAGCTAGAAAGTTTTTCTCCAAAATGGTTAGTTCTGCATGATAGATTTACTGGTAATTTTTACTTTCTCATTTATTTCTTTAAATTTAAAAAACAATACGTGTAAAACAATAATAAAAAGCTATGTTTACTTAGCAAAATATGGTTAGGAAAAATGAGAATAAAGACAAAATGAGAGTTTAAAAAGGTGAAGACGGGCCGGGCGCGGTGGCTCATGCCTGTAATCCTAGCACTCTGGGAGGCCGAGGCGGGTGGATCCTTTGAGCTCAGGAGTTCGAGACAGCCTGAGCAAGAGCAAGACCCCATCTCTACTAAAAATAGAAAGAAATTAGCTGGACAATTAAAAAATATGTATAGAAAAAAAATTAGCCGGGCATGGTGGCACGTGCCTGTAGACCCAGCTACTCGGGAGGCTGAGGCAGAAGGATTGCTTGAGCCCAGGAGTTTGAGGTTGCTGTGAGCTAAGCTG